TATTTGTCTTTGACATGACTATTGATCATATGACTCACTACCCCCCCCCCCAAAAAAAACCCCTCTTCTTGAGAAAGCTCCTCTCTAAAAGACCAAAAATTGTAAACCAATCACTCTGATCTACAAACTCCCTAAGGCTCACCTTTGTCTTATAAAATACAGCCAAGCTGCACTAATCTGCACCCTTTTCTCTAAGTAAACATAGTATAAAAATGTGACTCCTAAACCTCCCTGAGCAGTATACCACAAATACACATCTGCAAGCTCTGGGCATTATATAAGTAATTTCAAATATCTGACATGTAGTAAGAATAGCAGTTACCATCATGTGGTAGTCCTCATGGCCTTCGATGGGTTCGGATACTACATTTTTAATGGAGCCCATTGGAACTTTCTCTGTTCTCTCTGAAAGTGAGAAATGGTTATGAATCCATAACATATCCGGCATCTCTGCGCTGCTGAGACCTCAGTGTTAAACCATGACTTCACCTTTTGTTCCGATCCACAGCTGATCTTGCTCCAGTTTGAATGTGAGTCGTACTTTTCCTCCGGATTTGTTAAACATCCCAGATAAAGGCACTGTTGGTAGTCGCTCCTGTTGGTGCGACAAAGGAGCCATCAATGCCTCGAAAGTTGATTTAGAAGAAGAAATAAATGTTGGACAGCTGTAGCCAACATCGCCTCTCACCTTTGTTCCTTTGATAGCTGGCATTATATCCTCTGGTTTACCTTTGTCCAGTACTTTCCTGTGTTGCTGAAACACATTTTGTAGGTTAAAGACAAGGATTTTTTTTTTTGAGATATTTAACAGTACTCTAAAGTGTTGTAGAAAAATCTTACCTTTTGCCTGCATAAAGGCTCTTTCTTGTTTTCCTCTGCTTTAACTTCCTGCTGAATGACCTCTTTTGGTGTGTTAACAGCTAATACATCATTTATTGTCGATCCTACCACCATTATTTTTGCCCCGTTTGTAACCTTAATGTCACGTAGCGTCTTGTCCTCTGAAAGCATTCCTTTGTACATCACTTTCTGCATTGCTGGTGGAAGACCTAAAACATATAGAGAGCTCCTTCAGTTCTTTTCTAACCTGATCTATTCTATTAAATCCTATAAAAGTAATCTAAAGAATCGTAAACCCCTACCAGTGAGAGCGTGGATCCTCTCTTTAAGTTTGGCTCCGGTGCTATCGACAGGAATTTTCAGATCGTATTTGTTCTTGTTCCAGATGATCTTCAAGTCCACCGTCTCCTGCTTGTCGTCAGCGTCGTCGCCATTGCTAATACTAGAGTCCTGAGTTGTAGCATTCCCTGCCTCAGTTTGAGACGTAGCGTCTGCATCGGCCTTCTCAGCAGTTTCACCGAGTGTCTCAGCTTCTTTTGGCTTCGCCTCAGTGTCCATTATGGCTCCTTCACTACCTGCAAAAGCATTTGGTTTATACTGATTGAAATGTTTCAGAAATAGCCTTTCCTTTCTAAAATGTAAATTAGTAGCATACATTAATGACAACTAGTGCTTTAGAATGGAAAAAAAGATTACTAATGTAAAGTAAAAATAGTGTTAAGATCAAATTTTAAGAATAACATTTTCTTCTTAGTAAAATAATTCTAATACTGGAACATATTTGGAATTTCTGGAATTATAAACAAGGTAAAAAAAAAAAAATTAAAAATAAAATAAATATATATATAATTCGTGTGATTAACATTGAACTCCAATAAAAAATATTTGCAAATCCAAACATCTGATCACTATCTAGGGCTTAACAATTTTGCCAAAAATTCAAAATGTGATTATTTTTCCACCAATATTGCTATTAAGATTTTGTTTCAATCTTTTCCCTACAATAACCCCAAGCTTGTAGACGTTTCACTGCAGGCTTTCAGTTTTGAAAGCTTGCTTTAAAGGAGTCCATTGTTGCTGGATTTTGGTGCAACCTTTTTGTGAAAAAGTGCTTACTTCTACTGGCATGCATGGATCTGCATGGTAACTGCAACTCTCTCGACCTTTCTGCGTAGTTGAAATTCCACTTTAAGCATTTTACTGCTACCTAAGGAGCTGGAGTGACAAATTTAAGGTTTTAATCATGCTAAATGTAAAAGGACTAAAATTGAATGCCGCTGCCATTAGATTGCAGATGCAATTATTTTCCAAGCACCATCTATATCTATATTAGAAAATATAAGCGAAAGCAGTTACTATGTGCAGTAAGTAAGGTACAACATTACCCTGTATTATAAGAGGTAAAATGCCTTTCTAAACCAAAGAGAGTGGTACATAAATATCGCCAAATTAACTGGGAATTCTACAAAAGAGTAGCATTTTGGAAGATTCTTTGATTCAGAAAATTTTTGATATTATCAGTCATTAAAGCAGGTCGATGTTGCCTCCAGGTTGGTAAGAAATGTCCTCTGGCAACGCCTCTTTTTTTATATAAGAAAGCTCGGAATGGAAAGACAACAACTGCAAAAATACCCGAGAGCCAATTAACAAACCAACCAGAAGCATTACAATATTTACAAAACGTTATAGACGTTCTAAACACATTAAGCATATTGTTCTCAAAATGTAGTTAAGCATCTGAAAATGAATACAGCTATACTATTCAGCAACATTTAAACACCAGTGTTGGCCTGGTGGTTAGAGCAGTGCGCTTGTACTCTGAGAGGGTTGCAAGTACCCGGATCGATCCCTGCAGCCTTCACTTTGGGTCCATGAGCAGAACAATTTGACCACAAACCAGAGCTGCTCTAAACGAAATGTATTTTTGTTTACACTTTTGTATACAAAATAAATCTGTCTAAGTCAAACTGCTCCCAGGATGCCGCACAATGGCAGCCCACTGCTCCCCAAGGAGATGGGTTAAATGCAGAGATACAATGGCGTAAATATTGGTAAGCAGAGTCTGCAGTTGCTTAGGGGCCCCCGACCTATTAGGGGCCCCGTCACTGTCTCCTGGCAGGCCCCCTACGCAATTGTGGACTAGGACGTCTGTGTTGTACTTCGTATGGGGCCCTCCCAGATAATGTTGCTTATGGGCCTATTGTTGTGCCTCTAGTGTGAGATCAATAAAGTTCTACTATTATTATTATGTTGACTTTTTTCTTAACTAACTCACCTGAACCACTGACCTCCAGGTCAGATGCTGATTCTAGGAATAGTTTACTGCCTTTAATCAAATAAAATACTATAAACGTTCTGTCAAAATTCTCATTAGTTTCCTTACACTTTAAATTTCTCCTAAAAATGATAATTTAATGATTCCTATACTTTCCATTCAATATATTTTCTAAATTGTTATTTAGTACAAACGTATTACTAGATTACATGGTCTCCATTTCAGTAGAGGTGTGCATAGTCTCCAATCCTCATGCTAATCTGAACATTTGGGTGAACTTTCTAGCACTTTCTATCGCTCTTTTTTATTCAAAATCCACAGAATGTTTTTTTTTTATGTCAGGAAAGAGATTAGATTAGGGAGAAAAAATCTAAACAAACAACGGATGGGGAGCTGAAGACATTTTTGTTTTAAACAAAACAACCCGAACAGTTAATTTTAAATTAGCTGCTGCTTCTTATTACACTCCGGTACTTTTGTTAACCATCCTTGATACTGTATTTATTCAATAAAGATAATTTAGAGCTTTAAAGCTAAAACTTGCGAATGCTTCCAACTTTAACGACAGTTGTCTTAAAATGTAGATAAACGTAACTGATGTTAGCAATCATTAACACTGGCTAGCTGTACCATCTCCTCAACATTTTTACGAAAAAAAAAACAACGTAGCAAAGACACGAACATTTACATCACAGCATATTAACCAAAGCACACGTCAAAGACTACATTAAAGACGTGTGGAATTTTACTGCTACTTAATAAAGTTTGACTGAAAATATTCCGTGTATTTTCGCTAAATGTTCTCTCTACCCACCGTCCTGCGTCGCCATGATGATTGTGTACAATCTGTCGGTTTGTGGCAAAGAGGAAACAGGAAGCAGGATGACTCCGACACTAAAACACAAGGCGAAAAATATCGATTTTTTTTGGGCACATTTATAAATTTAATGGACGGCACAGATTAAGAAATATCTATTAAATGGTGAAAATATATTTTAAATATTTTCCCACAAACTTGTACTTATTTAAAGCAATTTGTAGGCATTTAATCGTAAAACGGGTAGGACAAAAAAAGCGCATGCGTATCAAAAAATACATTGGAAATATTTAAAAACACATATATATGATATCTTTGTCAGCTTACTTCTGTGTATATAAGGGAGAGGTAAAGGACTCTAAAAAAAAAAAAAAGATTTCCATGTATATATTTCGAAATGACCAGCTGTTACGTAGCCACAACTGTGAAACTTAGAGCTAAAGGCGGAAGTAAGAGGCAGGTATCTATCTTGGCTGACTCTTGGTTCTATTCCCAAACCGCCCCCTAAGCACTACCCCTTAACTATTGAGTGTCACTCCCAATGAATTCACACTCGCAGCGGTGGAGGGCGCCTTGATTGGAGTTAGGGGGCATGAATGAGAATGAGACCCAAAAACGGAAAAGGAAAACGATCGTTGCTATGGAAACATAGTGACGCACCTTGTGCATGGATGTAGATGTGTGGGCAAATTGATAAGACATCAAACATTTGGCCCTTTCTTAAAGGCACATTTCTACATTCAAATACAACAATGTCAAAGAGGACCTTCCCTTTTGGAATTTATGGAATCTTTGTGAATCTTTCCTAAATTGTGTTTTTTTTTCCCCCAATGTGACGAAGAGGCAGAAAACTAGTGGAACATTCATTTGAATGTTTGTGTTTCCTCTACCTTTAGAGGAGAATATATATATATATATATATATATATATATATATATATATATATATATATATATATATATATATATATATATATGTGTGTGTGTGTGAGTTTTGTTTTTTTAAATGAACGTTCCTCGCCGTCACCTCCGGACGGCAGCAAAGTCAAAGGAGTTAAATGAGCAGAAATGAGGCGAACGGAAGAAGAAGCAAAGCCTGAAAACTGTTAGGACTGTCCGGACTGTCCTCATGACGAAGGAAAAGTCTGAGTGAAAAAGGAAAATGAGCGGAAAAAACTGCCTGTAATTAAAGTCACAAGTTGTCATGTGTGCTGTGTATAATAGGAAGGAAGTGTCTGTGGAGTACAGTGCGGATCTATTGCCTTCTGTTCGCTGCTGCTCCTCTGCTGCATTAAACTGGAACTAAACTGTAACTGAACTTTTAGAAAATGGAGACGTTTGGGTCCTCAGGGGATCCTCTAGGATTTTAGGTAATTCATCGACAGAGGAGCTTTAAAAGCGAAAATATATTTTTAAAATGTATTAGGAGGATAAATAGAACTATGGCAGACAGAAGGACTTACAACGTCGTGATTTTGGGTGTGGGATTTCTGTTTATTTTCACCGCCTTCACCACCTGTGGGAACGTGGAAGTAAGTAAAATAAACCTAAATCAATTTGTCTAACCTGGTGCTTCTTAATTATTTACAGTCTATTTCCCCAAGTACTCATTTTAACGTTTGAGGAGAAAAAAAACAGACATCTTTAAACTCTTAATGTGTTATAAATCGAGCCAGCTGACATATCTTATTTTAGTTATGGTTAAGTTTTAGGTTTAGTGGATAGAACAAATAAGAAAATTGGTCTGCTGATGTGTTCTGAGGAGGAGGAAAGAGGAGATAGTCAGGCGCATCTCGTGTTTCTGATTTTCTTAAATGGCAGTGAAATGATCAAACAGGATGCATGACCCCACGCTGTTATTGGCTGATTTCTACTCCTTTGATAAACTCAACTCTTATTTATTTTCATTGCAGCAAACTGTGGTGAAAAGCCTGAAAAACTCAACTTTCAGTGGTAGTGGTTACCACAGGTAAAAAGAAAAAAACCCAAACATTTTTACAATAGAAAAACATGTAGATGCAGTAACTGTTTTTTATTTATTTTTATTTTACTTCTTCTAAAGTCTAGGGATCATCTATGGGGTCTTTTCATTCTCCAATCTGCTTGCACCAACTGTTGTCACAGTAATTGGAGCAAAACTGACCATGTTTTTAAGTGGCCTACTTTACAGGTAAATTATTCTGTCCTGATTATAGAATTTGCAGTGAGAAATAATTAAACACATCATGACTGTGCTTTTGTTCAGTGGTTACATCGCAGTATTCATCATGCCCTCTACTTGGTCATTTTACCTGACATCTGTTCTCATCGGCGTAGGAGCAGCCTGTAAGTTCCCATTACACCAATTGTGTCCTTATATTTCACACTTAAGTTTGTTGTCTGTACTATTTAAGCTACTATTTTTCATAATGTTTGATTGACCAATGTAAACATTTAAATTGTGTAAACAATTTCTAAAGTAAGTATTTTACAAAGATAAAAAAATGCATGAAAAAGCCAGAAAATACGACTTGTTTACTTTCATATCCCTAAAAAAGAAAAGCAAGTGTTTTTGCATATTCTTAGTAGGGCTGAAACAATCAATGGGATTAATCAGGATTAATCGATTATTGAAATAATCAACTAATTTTAATAATCTATTAGTGGTTAAATGGAGTATGAAGACTGTAAAACATACCCTATAGCTGACAGAGTCACCAACTTAGAGCAGCAATTACACCAAAATTGTAAAAGAAATGTAAACATTTTGCATTTACGATAAAAAAAAAAAACTGTCTGTCAATATGTTCAATAACGTTCAATGTTCAATGCAGAACTTAAGTGGAAACATTTTATTTTCACCTGGTTTAATTTAGTAAAAAATCTTCTTTATGGAACCTTTGTTTATCTAATTATCAATCAATTAATCCAAAAAATATTCATCAGATTAATGGATTAGCAAAATAATCGTTAGTTGCAGCCCTAATTCTTACCATTAAGAGTTATATGTTGTTTGAGTCCGTTCACCAAGAGTGAAATAACTATGCAATATATATACATTTTAAAAAGTCGGAGATAGAAAGTCTGCAAAAGTTTGAATTTATTGTCACTTAATCTAATCTAAACAGGGTAAAAAATATACATACAAGCTTGGATATACTAAGCAAGACATATGGTGAAATGCTCTTCAAAATGTTGTAGGGAAATTGCGTTTTTCTTTTCTAAGGATTCATTAACTTTTAGTGTAGAGTTTTTCTTTTTGAACTGATTGGTTTGTTTTAAACACATAGCTTCCAGTACCAATATAACCCTGAAGCATTGTCCATGCACTACATTTAGAGTCTTTCTAGAAACTTAATCTTATTCCAAAATTGATTTACCTCGGATTCCAAAGCTTTCACATTATAATAGGCGTTAGTGTTTCTGGTTGTTCTTGAACATCATAACCTAAGGATAAGGATCTCGGACACAAATAAAACTGGTTTTAAATCATGAACAGATAAGTTATCTTCTGAAATGGTTTTGCCTCAACCTTGATTTTATATCTGTTGGGAAAATCAACGCCAGGTCTACCCCACTAAAGCAGAGGGTTAAAAAATATATAAGAGTTTCTTCACAGAAGCAGTCAGATATCTTCCTAGAATTGTGGGAAGTTTATAATGGCCGGAAAAAAAAAAAAATCTGCTAAAGATGAGTGTATGTAAAAGTTTCACTTTTACCACATTTACATAAATACCACTGACCTGAAGCAGCTATAAATTTGTTCTTTTTTCTTAGCCTAATTGCTCACACTGAGAATACACTCTGAAGGAGCCTACAGTGCATTAAAACAGCTGAAGATAATAAAGCTTGTAAATAGCTTAGTGTGACTGCCGCAGGTCTTTGCATTCCATAGAAGCCCTGTTTTTCTCTCGTAACACAAAATCCAAGTTTTGCTTAATCATGCATGCAGTGATTATTGCGCCTGGGATACGACGATGCTATTAAGAGTACCTCCTGAATTAGACCTTAAATGGGTTAGAAACTGTGTCTCCAAGTAAAGCAGTGCATCTTGAGTTTGCTCAAAAACTGTGAAAATCCAGAGTAAGCCCCCTCCTGAGCATTGGAAGGCAAAACATGAGGAAAAAGATATATTCAAAGCAGTTGTTTTTTGGTGTAGCCTCAAATCACTGCAGTACGTTTCAGTTTTATCAAGGCTTTGGGCTATTTTATATTTAGATGCATAACTTACATAGGCACCAGTGTAACTTGTCCATTCCTGTCGGCATCTGAGTGGTGAATATATCTTTTTCCTCCCCCGCATCGTCCCACAGTGCTCTGGACGGCTCAGGGGTCCTTTCTGGTGGAAAACTCAGAAGCTTCCACTATCAACAGGAACACCGGGATGTTTTGGGCTCTTCTACAGTGCAGGTAGGAAAGTTATACTCCAGGCTCACGCAAAATAAGTTCATGCATTAAATCCGGTAAATGGTTTTAAATTAGCTGAAAATACCCTTTATTTTAGTATTAATTTATATAAAGATATTTAATTAAGTGGAATTTATTATGGAAATTAACATAAATGTTCTATTAAACATATATATCTATAAATCATCCATGTGATATTTAAGAATATACCTGTATGCTTTCACATTCAACTAAAAATAAGTTTTTAATCAGTCCATATTAGATATTATATATCCTGTATTATACCCTTTCCTGTATAATCTGTATATAGATTCCACATTTATTTATTTTATAGCCTCTTAAAATGACTCTCTGTTTATATATAAACTATTTAGAGTCCATGCATTCATAGTCACTGTACACATGTAAATAAATATTTATATCCTATATAGCACTTCTGGATAAATGCAAACTATATTTCATTGCTTTGCTTTGTGACAGTGTAATGACAATAAAGGAAAATTTGATACCATTCTATCCTATTCTATCCTAATATTATTTTCCAGCATTTGTCATCATAGGACTTTATTTTTCATTGCCTGTGTTCTCAGTCATCCGCGTCACGGCAACCACAAACAGGCTTAAATTGGAAGGCAACCGCACGTTTCGACATCTATCCAGGGGTGTTTGTCAGTTCTGTTGGCTTGCATCAGAACCTTATATATTTCATTGTGTTTATATAAAATACCCAATGTTAAAACTATTTTTTAACCTAAGCTGCAACATTTTCTGTCCAGAGTAAATAACACTTTGACAGGATATCTTTCTTTGCTCCTCATTTACCATAGTGAGATTTTAATAAATCATTTTGACAACATTAGTCTCTACCTGCTCAGCCTGAGCATATTAAAAGCTCCTTAAATCTGCAACAGGCAAGTTTTGGCCCCTTCCTTTCTTGGATCTGGCCCATTTCTCATGCATGCTGGCTTGGACAGCTAATTTGTGTTTGCTCCAATTTGCAAATTGAATTAGTATTATAATTACATTGGCTGTCACCTGTGCCAAAGCTCCCAATAGGCCAATGCTAATCTGACTCTGCAGTGATGATCGCGGCTGTAATAAACTTATGATTCAGTTGCTCACAGGCTGCAAACACAAACACAGTTTGCTGCTGTTAGTATTAATGAATAACCTCTGCCTCCCATCACTGGGGCCCTGGGAAGGAAACCACATTTATATGGATATTTAATTAAAGACAGAAATAGGTGTAGATATTTGATGGAAGGTTTTATTTTCCTGAACTCTAAATTTTGTTGTATTTTTCATCACAGACAGAAATTCATTTTCTTGAAAAAAATTAATTTAGGGAACATTTTGTACCACTCACTCCATTTTTCAAATGGATCACTTAGCACCCCGCTCATCGTCTTTTTTTTTTTTATTACACTAATCCTCAAAGTGGAAAAAAACACATAAATTAAAGGTCAAAGCGTTTAAGCGTTAAAAAGCCTAAAGAGGCTCAATTCATGCAAATTCTGGAATCCACTAAAATTGCAGACCTGGGTCATATTCAAAGGGTAAAATATTTAAACATACATACACAAACCGGCTCTACTTAACATGAAGCTTGGTGGGAATTTTTATCAGTTATGATTTGCCTGCGTCATTTTTTATTCATATGTGAAGTTGTGATTGTTGTTCAGTCATAGCATGCTACCTAAAGAGCCCCTCCAAAAAAGGAACAGATAATCAAATGACTTTAAGAAGGCAAATTTTGCAAAATATGTTGGCTGTTCAAGGTCAGCTGCTTCTTAAATACAGAGAAAATACAAGCAAATTGAGAAGTTTGAAACTGAGAAATGACATAGCCTTAAAAGAAATTATATATTCATAATAGAAAACTTAAATATTTCTAAAACATTTCAGAACTCCATTTGCTAAGTTCAAGTCCTAGTAAGCTAATCTGTCCCAAATTAAGAAAAACATTCTCAAACCAGCTCTCCCAATATAAATTACACTTTGAGGCCCTCTATTTGTTCCAAAAATATTGATTGCTGCAATCAACAGTCCAATCATCAGATCTACTATAAATTCATTGCAGCCCAAACAAGGTTGTTTACAGCCTCCTGCTTGGATGCATCATCTAGTATTAACAAACATATTAGAGTAAACTGGAATGTTGTTTATTTAGACTAAAAGTGTCATGTGGTTCATAATGTTTTGGCTTCAACTGCAAAAGCCATGTGCAAAAATAACCTGTAGTGCCAGAAACACCCCCAAATAAAATGGGTTTGTTAAATAAAAATAAGCTGTATAGAAACAGATAATAAAAATCAAACAGAATATCAAGCATACTACTGAATAATGAATATTTAAATGTCCCTGCAACCAGCTAGAAAATAAAATTGAAAAAAAATAAAATTGAATTTGAGCAATTAGCTTTTTAAACTGTGTAAATGTAAGCAACCACAGATGCTATGTTTAAAAAAAAACAAAAAAGCACTTTTACTAACTTGTATGACTTTTATGGGTTACTCTGTTGCTCCTGTATTGAAGCCACTCCTTAAAACCTGAGATTACCAGCTTTTCTGTCACTAATGACATCACTGTAAGAAATCTGACAGCCAAATTTGTTGTTAATACTAATCAATGTCAGCCCACTGATCATCCTTCTCCCATGACAGGTCTTTGGTAGTATTTTATTAATTTAAGCATTAAAAAGTTCTGCTCTGCTGATTCAACAGTGACCCGGAGAGTGAAGGCCATCCTCAGAACTGACAAAAGATTAAAGTAGAACTTAAATCCTTTTTTGAGCGAAAAGGTAATAAATAAGGTTATATATATCTGGAAAGCTTTCTATCAGACAATTCAAATTTATTTTGTGCATGAATGATTTATACATGATTATATATATATATTTATGTAAAGAAAATTGACCATTTGATCAGGAAATTGTGTTTTTTTTGTATTAATATAGAAGTTGTAAAGCTAAAAAAGACTAAAGAATGAATTGCTCTTAGGGAGCCTCTAGTGCCCTGGGGCCATAAGCAGTCATGTAGTTTTCTTATGCCTTGGACCAGCTCTGTGCAGTCTTTCTCTTTCCTCTAAGATAAGTTTTTCTTTTTTAAAACCAGAATGTTCAGTTCTCACAGTTTCAACTTTTCAAACATTTGTTCAAAAACCTTAAGGCATAACCACATGATATTAAGTAAACCTAAAACAGCAAACAAGCTTATTTTTTGGAACAACTGTATACTGCTTTTTTGCAGCTCTGGGTGTATTCATGTTTAGTTCTCTCTTAATGGCATAGCTCCAAACATTAAAGTCCATTAATTGTTTATTGAAATATCTTTGCCTTGGGGAGATTTTTAAGTCAAACCCATTTAACTGAATGCAGCAGTGGTTTGCAATCCTCTCAAGAAATCCTGTCTGACTACTGATCGGTGAAGTGCAATATTAATGTTTTTTTTTTTTTTTTCATTTTCCGAATACGCCTCTGCAAAAATATGTGGTTAAAATCCAATTAGGTTTTGAGTATTTCACAAGTTTTTCAAAAGTGCTTCCCAGATGAAGGTTATGCACAATTTTAATCTTAGGGAGGCACACAAAAACTCAAGCAATAACAGGATATAAACATCTGCATGCCACTAGTATAAATCATGTTAGGACAAAGAAATATATACATTTAGCATTTTATTTCTTAAATGTATGTCTATATATATATATATATATATATATATATAAATATATATATAAAAAAACCCTATAAAGCAGATATAAGATGTCTGATTTCTTATACCTTAAAATCCATTTAATTATATTTCCAGTCTTTATTTTATCTTCAAAATGAGTTTAGATTATATATTTAAATGCTTATTATTCAAATCAACATGCAGGTATATTAGGCTAGTTTAAGAAATAAAATGTTTTTGTTTAACCTGTTTATATTTTGTTTTTCTCTACTGAAAAAAAAGCTTTAGTTCACATTAAAGCAGACAATAAAAATACTACAAAAGCATAGAACTTAACCTGTAATCATGCTCAAGATGACACAGACTTAATGCTGCACAGCATATTTTTTGCATGATGTCATATTATAGGATTTTTAGAGGAGACAACATTTGTACGGTTCTTTTATGTAATGACAGGCAGATACTTCATTTTTGCATTCCATTGTGTGGATTTTTGTGGATGCTACGCACCATAAACTTCACACACAGAATGCTGACACTGGGATAACATGGCATACAGAGAATATATAGTGCACTATATAATATGTAAAGAGCTATTGTAAGCAGGGTGTGTTTGTGCAGCAGGTTGAGGTTGGTTAGATTTAAAAGCTCCCTAAAGGAAAGGTGGGCTGCATATTTATGTCGAGTGAAAACAAACAGCGTAGCTCTGCTAATGATTAGAAAACACACAACAACACAAGCCTTTTCAATTCATTTATAGTGTCATTTTTATTTGCAGTATGCTGTTTGGGAATCTTTACATTTACCTGGACTGGAATGGAAAATCTGAAATATCAGGTAAGGTTAGACTTGGTTAATAACTGTTGGAGAATAAAAGGAAAATGTTGCATGGTGGTGGAAGTTAAGTTTAATCAGACAGGATTAAACGAGTGGCTATCATTCTGAATCTGTTTTAGTGTGATGGTTTTAAAATAAAGCTGTTTATTTAAATCTCAGAGAGCAGCAGGAGGAACATTTTTCTGTTCCTGTTGGTCGCTTCCATTCTTGGCACTCTTAGCTTCTTGGTGTTGAGGACGAGCCACCATGAAGAGGAAATGCTGTCTGAAGAGGAAGGGCAGTCGCTGCTCTCAACTCGTACAATGTAAAGGATCCTCCTTTAGATAATTATCCCCTTTTCTTTGTGGTCTTACAAAATCAACCAGAATATAGCAACATCAGCCCTCAGGAATAACAGATAAAATCAAAAATGAAATAGTTATGCATTAACTGTTCTTTCCCTTGATGAATCCTCCCAGAAAATTATTTTCCTCCAAATTGCCCGCCTCGGATTTTCCAAGTGTTTTGTCAAGATGAACTTAAGGCTTGGCAGGCATTCTGAACGAGTTTTGTCCTTCAAAAAAATGACACTGAACATTTTTGCCATGATTATTGCAATTTTAACACAGTCAAGCCCAATCACAGCACTTAAGAAGAGTAGGTTGCAATCAGGCAGATCTTGGGCAGCTACGATGGAAAAGCATTGAGTGTGGCAAGAAAAGCCCTCAGCCCCCCCGTTTTCTTTAGACATGTTCTAATTCTTATGATTGTCGACGAGATATATATTTATACATAAAAAAAGGACAACTGAAAGTCAGTTTAGTGGAAAAAAATACATTGTGATGGTACACATTGTGACCTGGCAGAAATACGAAATTTGATCCCTTCCCATTGGTCAACCTTTAAATTTAACTCTGATTCTAACAGAGCAAAAAAAAAAAAAAAAAAAACTGCAGAGAAAGATCTTATCTCTCACTCTCTCTTCAAGATATGTTTTTAATGCTTCTTTCTGGAATATATCCATTATTACTTAGTGTGTTTGTTTAATTTACTTTGGCTGATTTGAGTACTGTAGAAGGTAACATCACTTTTTTTTCCTGCTGTTTAGGTACAAGAACAGGGCAAACACTGCCTTGCAGGATACCAAGACTGAATTCCGTAAGTTTAAATGGAAAAAAAAAACACTTATTAAGTAATTTCCCTCTGGGATTATTAAAGTATTTCTGATTCTGATTCTGACTTGAGTTCCATATAGTTTGGTATTTCTTGTTTCTGCAAAATAATCATCCTGTCTTGTTTGTTTACTACTAATTATATCTGACTGTAGATATGGTGACTCTCTTGTCTTCCCCATTTTGAAGACAGGCTAAGAGAAACAGACTTTTTACACTAAACGCCTGTGCATTAATTGTGCATGTTACAAGTAATCTACAAAGATTGCTGTTCAAATGTTAAGATGTGCAAACTGGTTCAGTTTTTTCAAAATAAGCAGATTCTGATGCAGGCAGATGAGGCTTTAAGCTATAGAGATGGAGGTAATAATGACATTTTTTTTAGGTCATGATAATACTAAATATAATGTATAGTGAACTTCACATAGGTAGTCTATCTCAAGGTGTGAGGAACAAGGGTAGAAAAAAACCCAAAAAACCTTGAGATATCGCTATCATCAGAAATGTTTGTTTGCATTTTACAACCGGATTTTCAGACGTGCTACTGTAAAAAAGATGCAAAAACCGCCTGAGTTTCAGCTTTGAAAAACTGAGTGAATTTCAGATGCAAATCGCTTGTCGGTTTCTTTAAAGATCTGCCCTGTACATTTAAACACGTGTGCACGTATTGTAAGATGCTCAAAACCTTCTGAAGATCAGGCCCAAAGTGCTGTATGTATCCAGGCATATTAATGGAAAGTTTAGGAAATGAAAAAAAAAAATGCAATAAATAAATAAATAAAAGGCAGGTAGAAAAACAGCAGGGAGGGATTTGTAAAGCAAAGCCCATTCAGGGGTTAGGAAGAGATTAACCAGAGATAGACCATGGCCAAAGTCACACTTTGAAGAGCTTCCACACAAAGATACTTTGAACCCTGGCAACAGCAGATAGATTGATTGCATTGAGCAACTCTTCAACCAGAGACAATGTTAAAAGCACCTCTACTAAGGTAATGGGAAATGACCTGTACTTATATATGTCATTCACTCATTCAAGTGAATGATGGTGGCAGGATTAGAGTTAAATGAATACAAAAACAGAGCATACTGTATTTTTGATCATTCTGTATAACATATAGTATATAGACAGTATCAGTACAAACGTGTTATGGTTTTAGAAGTGAAATACCATGAAAAATCTTTTTTTAATTGTAATTAAAAATATTGAGATGCACCTTTACACTGAGTAAGGGATGGACGATGATTAAATGGTGAAAAGTCTTGGCTTGACACATGAGAAATTAATTAAAAAGACTCTGTTTGCTAAGCAATCCCCACCGTTTTTAGGGCCACAATTGTTATTGGCAAAAAAAACGTAATAGAATTAAAAAAATTAAGAATAAGAAAAGTTAAAATTGTAAAAATGTTTTTAAAGTTAAATAAGAAATTATATTTGCACACTATGCTTTTCCTATTATATTTACTAAGAGATATTTGCGGAACATGTCTGTTTAAACAATAAATACTGCTTTTAATACACATCTTACACATACCTTTTTATGGTAATCATTTCATTGTTTATTATTAAGGCCAGGTTATTTTACAATATGGTGCTTTTTTTCACCCCGGAGTTTCTACAGTTAATATTAAACCATCATATTGTAGGTCTAAAACCCCCATAATATGATTTTTTTTTTTTCTTTTTTGGGGGTTTTGTCACATTTGACTGCTTCCATTCTGCAACTAGCAGGAAGTCACAGGCAGTTTTGTTTTTCTTCAAGTAAAACTTGCTTTCATGTGGATAGAAATCTCCCTTCTTCGCGACAGAGTACACAGACAGTGCCTTAGTGCGAGTTTATCTCAGATTATCTCTGTGTTTGTCAACTGGAAACTCTGCTGCACTTGCTCCTGCTTTCGGTGTTGCCCCAGGTTGTTTGGATGATCTGATTGCTCTTTGTCTCGTGTGTATCTTGTGCGCGTGCAGACTTGTGTGCACCTGCCTCGAAAGATATCAGGTTTATCAAAGATGCATGCTGATTCATGTCAGGAAAGGGCATCAAGGCATACATAAACAAACCTGCTGGGATCTCTGCCCTAAAATCTAAATTTCTCTAACAACCTGAATGGAAGCCTCTCCTGGGTGCTTGCCTTTCTGCATTTAAATGTGGCTCTTTGGCTCATTTTCCCCATCATCTTTCAGCACTGAACTTTAATTCTAAGAAGAAAATAGGGCTTTAAAGTCTGCTTTTAATCCACATTTAGTGGAGCAGTAAAAGAGCCACGTTTGTTCAAGAAATATGGTATTTTATTAGCAATTTAAATTAGTGTATTAATTTTTTTTTTTTCTTTACAGAAACGATCCTGCAGCTATTGAAGACTAAAACTATAATACTTCTGAGTCCCTGCATGGTATACAGTGGTAAGGGAAAATGACTAGATGTTTTTTCCTTTAGTGAAATAGTTGAAGTTGGAGAACAAACTGTCTCTGTCTTCCAGGACTTGAGCTGTCTTTCTACAGTGGAGTGTATGGAACGTGCATTGGAGCAACTGCTCACTTTGGAGAAGCAGCCAAAGGCTTGATTGGCATCTCTGGGATTGTGGTGGGAATCGGAGAAATAGTAGGTGAGTTTATTTACTGCTCTAAGAGATTTAAAAAACCATAAGAGGTTTGTTTAATTCATGCTAGTGTCCTCTGTCCCATCAGGTGGAGGTCTGTTTGGACTATTGTGCAAAAACAGTCGCTTCAGACGGACCTCAGTGGTGTTTCTGGGAATGGTTGTCCATTTTATTGCTTCCTACTTGATTTTCCTAAACATCCCAGAGGATGCGCCTGTCGTCTTTGAATCCACCACCCAGAAAAATCCATTTCTAAGTCCAAGGTAAGTAGTTTGTCTTATTATTTAACAGAAGGGAAAGCAGGCCTCAGGAAAGGCAGTTTTTATTCATGTCATGTTATTAATAAGCGCTGTGTTTTCTCCCTCAGTGCATCCATTGCCCTGTTGTGCTCTTTCCTGCTTGGACTTGGAGATAGTTGCTTTAACACGCAGCTCTACAGCATATTGGGTTATGTTTACGCCGAACAAAGCATGCCTGCTTTCGCCATCTTTAAATTCATCCAGGTAATCCTCGATTGCCAATTCTCAGACATTGTTAGCAGAGCCAAGCAAAGCTCAGTCAAAATGTTGTCCTGTCAAGTGTGAAATAAATTCAGCTGAAGCCTCATTAATAGGGATGGAAGGTGTCAGAGAGGAAAATCTTCACCCCTCCCTCTTTTCTTTGCTGCAAAGTTGATCTCTGAAAAAAAATTACCCCTAGGAAATTGTGATATTTTCTAAGCTTGTCTTTGGAATAATGAAACCTTTTTTTTGTTTTTCTCAAGGCATCAAACTCACCCATGCTTTTAACTCTATACTGCCATGCAACATGAAGTGCCTAAACAATATCAAACGTGTCATGCTTGATTTAAATATAATAAAACTAGATAAAGGTTTATCACATCTGTCAATCTAAATGTTGTAAGTAGTCAATTCACTTCAGTTAGTTTTAATTTACACTTAAAGAGACGGTGCAAAACTGTCACCTATGGGAGACTTCAAATGTGAAATCCTCTGCTAATCAAAGAACACATAGGTCTTTTTCATCTTTCCCAAAAACGTCTTGCTGGTGTAGAACCGAAGGTTTGATTTAGACAGTAGTTTTATTTTCACAAATCAGGATAAATTAAATCAGTTTTGCATTTACTTTGGTTAGCAAACAGAACAATTTGCTAGATAATCTTAAATGTTTACTAATGATAAAAAATAAGAATAATATGAAAACAAAAAAGCAGTTTCATTGAGCCCAATCGAGGCGTAATGTGTAAGAGTTATAAATGTGTGAAGTGATTTTGAACAGCACTTTGGTCGGGTTTGAGTTGTTGCTGGTCTTTTGTGATCATCAAAAACAGTTGTCTGTGTTCTATAGCTAGTGCATCAAAAATAGAAAATGGAAGAAAAGAGAAAATTTTACATTGTTTCTACAATATAAATACTGTGCATCTGGCAAATAAATTATCAATATTTAGCTGTGGAGATTTTTAAAGTAATCGATATGTGAAAAAATAGCAGCATTTTATTTAAGTGACCAAGCCAGAAACTGTGCAGAAAACAGGATGAATGTAACACCTTATTGAGGCTGTTGGGAACAGTGAAGTTTATAAAGCCTTACAGCTGCTGGGAGGAAGGATCTGTGATAATGCTCCCTGGTGCATTTAGGGTGCAGCAGTCTGTCACTGAAGGAGCTGTCCAGTTCTGAAAACAGGTTCTGGTGTAGCTAACTTTTACCTCCAATGCCTAATTAGCTGTTTCTGTTGTTGGCATTTTCCCCTGAATGCAAGCTTTAGTGGTAGTGATAGACCGATGCATTGGCTAGATGATATTCTTGGCCAATATTTTCTTTTTCTTCATGTATCGTTTTAAGCCGATAAGATTTTTTTATTAATAATAATTTGGAAATTTAACAAAAAAAAGGAAAAGGAAAAAACAAAAACCGCCCAAAGAAAAAAAGAAAAAAACTTTAGAAGCACAAATCAGTGATTGGTCAGACTGATGTCTAAATAATCAGTATTTTTCCCCTAAAAAAAAAACTTTTATTGGTAGATCTTGGACTAGAATCGCACTTCTCTCTCTCTTTGAATGACATGTACCAATGCTAATACTAACTGACAGGATAAAGAAAGTACAACTTTCCTGATTGCAACACATTAATTAAGACCTTGCAGCAATAAAGATCTGTGGTCCACATTAATTTGTTACCTTTACTTCCAGTTCATTACAGCCAGATAACGTCCAATGCCAACATTTTGATATTTTTTTTTTTTAGAATTGTAGAATAAAATGAAACCTTTCCCTTTAAACCCTGTAGTTATAGTAAAGTAATAATGGATTATGTTTTTACTTAGATGTTGAAACACATCTTTCATTTTGTAAACATAAACAAAAAATTATCTTAAATGTTAAATTTCGAGGAAGAATTCACTATGGTGGATTTCCATGTAAAAGATTTGGCACTGTTACAATAAATAACAGGAAAATTGTATATTTTCAACTTCTGAAAATGTCTTTGTATTTTCTTTCACTTGCACACCCCTCTCAAAAAGGATTCAGTGAACAATTAAATTTATCTCTATACATATATATATTTTTTTTAAAATACAGAGCATATCAAATATTATATTTGGCTGTTTTTGTGGACATTGGCCTTTAATATGGTTCAGCTGTTTTCAGAGTCAAGGTTTAACTATAGAGATAATTGAAAAATAACACCTGGTTTACTGTTGTCCACTTTCTCACAATTAATTTGCACATATTTATATACTTTGCACACAATACCAAGTTTCTTCTTTGTACCACTAGAGGTAGCTCAAATACCACCATTATGACATTTACCAGAGTTTGAAAAACATGGCTGTGCTCTACAGTTGAGATGTTGGGAAGCTTGCGGTTCTTTCTTCTCATAAGAAACAATAAAATGTTTTTTTTGTGTGTGTGTGTGTTAGTCTGTGAGTGCAGCAGTGGCGTTCTTCTACAGCGGCTACCTTCTGCTGACGTGGCAGCTCCTGCTTCTGGTCCTCCTGGGTTTTATTGGAACTCTCTGCTTCTTCGTAGTTGAGAGGATGCAGGACTACTCCATGGATTCACAGGATTATTGAACAACAGGAGATTGTGATCATAACCATTTGTGTCCTGGAAACAATTATCCTGAAACAGTCCTGTATTTTTATATTTAATAATGTATTATTCTAATAAAGCAATGAAAACAACAGAGAGCTTAAAACCATGTTAAGTGTCATAATGTATTAAAAACAATTATAAGCCATGTTTAGGAGACTTTCCTTATCAGTTCACTCTGTAGGATAAGTTTCAATAAACACTTGCACCTAATTGGGTCTTTTTATCAAATCTTAACCACTTATCTTATTTAATACTATTTTTTATTTCTAGCTCAGGTTTGTTTTAATGAAATAATTTTTGTATCTAATCTGTCTTTGTGAATATCAGTGACACTAAGTAATGCCTGACAATCACTACTTTCTGTTATGTTTGTACATTTTGCTTTATAATGTCAATGTTTCTTCCTTTTGGTAAATCTTTGAATAATAAAATATATTAATACCCGGCGGAGTCATGTGCCTAAAGTGAATCAGCCATTTAGCATCACATAACAAAAAAAAAAAATATATATATATATATATAATATTAATACCCGGCGGAGTCATGTGCCTAAAGTGAATCAGCCATTTAGCATCACATAACAAAAAAAAAAAATATATATATATATATATATATATTCAGACAGAAAAACGTTGCAGCAGCTTGATGTATTTCTCCTGTTTTTAACATAATAGCAAACTAATTTCCCTCAGAAATTTTTTTTTAAATCTTTCCTTTAGGGCCCATGTGAAATGAATATCTAATTAATGTTCCAGAATAATTTCATCTCATCCTGCAGCAATAGAATAAACTACTATATTGTTGGGCTTCTTAAGTTAAATAATTCATTTTTTTTTTTTTACAATAAAATGGAAGTGTTTAACTTTTAGGTTTAGTTTAAAGTTTAAGAAATTTTAAATATTTCATAAAAAATAATATTAAAAGCTTCACATTTCTAATTAAATCTCAATACCATACAGTGTTTTAAATGAATCATTGAAATACAAACTAGTATGAAATAAAAGCAGCATACAATTTTGTTTTTGCGAGGGAATGTGTTTTACAGATAGGTGACTAAAACTTTAGACCCTTTTTTATAATAATGATATACGGTAGTTTTAGAATATTGCTTAATTACTCCATTCACTACTTTATGTATCGGTAGCAAATATTTTCGATCAATCTTAAATGGTATAAAAGTAAAGAAAAACTAACTAGAGATTTCTTTAGCTTGACTTTGGCAAACTGCTGCTCAGTGGAGCAGAGGGAAGCACTGCTGCCTTGCAGCAAGAAAGTTCCGGATTCAATTCTTGGTGCGGGGTCTTTCTGCATGGAGTTTGCATGTTCTCCCTATGCATGCCTGGGTTCTCTCTGGGTACTCCGGCTTCCTCCTACAGTCTAAAAACATGATTGTTAGGTTAATTGGCTTCTCTAAATTCTCCTTAGGTGTGTGTGCGTGAATGGTTGTTTGTCCTGTGTGTCTCTGTGCTTACCTGCGATAGACTGGCGACCTGTCCAAGTTGTACCCCGCCTCTTGCCCATAGACAGCTGCAGATAGGCACCAGGACCCCTCACGACCCCAGCAGGGATAAGCGTTACAGAAAAAGGATGGATGGACTTTGACAAACTCTCTTTATTCATTCAGCATTATAAATAAACACCTGTGAGGTCAACATTCTTAATAATTGGGCTGCAAACCTTTTGTTTTTTGTGAGTTGTGATCTTTTACATTAGTCTTAAATTTACTAAAACATGTATCCTACCCTTGTGACCAATCTCACCAGCCTAATTTACTTAATTCTAACCCCAATTTGTCAGATTTGTTTAAAAATCAATAACACTATTAATCAAAAAAGGAGAATGCATAGCTCAGATTCAATGAAAAGGTTAAAAACCCACAGGCCCCACATTACTTTAAAAGTAATTGAGTATTGATTAGATTAAAATGAGCCTTAGTAGGTTTGTGAAATCTTAAGTCAGTGGTGTCACTTACTGATTTCAACAAAGCACTGAAGGGTTAATGAAAGTATACAACTTTTGGCCCCAGAATTAGATCCCAGCATGAGCTGTGTTATTATTTCACCGAAGTAACCTTGTAAGGAGTGAGGCTCAGTGTGGAGAACTGTATTACCTGAATGCTGGTATGTAGGTTATAAAAAAAACTCAGCGTATGTTCAGTCTAGTCAGGGGCCACACTGACAAATCAGATAAGAATGTTGTGTGTGTTTATTGAACGTTTGCTTTAACTGAATATCCCCACAGCCCTTCAGCATCACCTGACGAAAACCAGTTTGATTTCCCAAAGCACTACTTCAACCACTCACACCTTTGGATGATAACGTCAACAAATGTGCACACTGGGGCTGATCTGCTTCATTTTGCCACATCCTTGCAATCCTAATAGGCAGATCTGATTGAAATGGACGTGCGGCATGCACGGCTGGGGCTTTGAAAAGCGCAGCATGCACTCCGTCTCATCAGTTATTGTGTTTTTGGGTGCGAGAGAATGAGTTTTACTGTTAGGGCTTTTATCCAATGAGGCTGTTTTAATTTCGAAGTCTGTGTACGCTCAAGAGATTGGTTCATTTATTTCAATCGTTTTCTTCTGTGACCTGCTTGATTGCCACAGCCTGTTGGTTTATTCAGAGTTACAACTGTTCTGTACCTGTAGCTCGCTTGTTTATTAAATTTGAGGACTTGTCTCATTTTCCGAGAATTATGGAAATCACATGTTGTAGGATATTTGTATGAATGAGGTGGAGTAGACAATTAAATAAGCCAATTTTCTAAGAGAATAATATCTAATCAGATTAATATCTGTAGTGTTAGAGTTACTTTTTGCTCTAGTTAGCTTTGCACGGAATAAATGTTTCAGTCATCAGCAGCTGAATTAGGCTAATTGTTCAGCAGTGTGTGTTCAGCATCCAAAGGTTTATGTGATCTAACATTAATGGAAAATGAATAAAATTATCACCTGCACACAATTGGAAATTAAAAAATACTTTATTATGAAATTAAATCATGACCACCAGAAGCTGACAGAGAAGCTGACTTCTAAAGAACGGACATAGTGCCAGTGTTTGACAGGGATAAACAGCACATCTCCAGGCTGTAAGACACACTCCTGATATGGTGCTTTGACAAACTCAGGGAAGCGTTCAGCATCTGGATTCTCCACTTCCACCTGCAAGGATGAGTTTAGAAACAGGAAAACCTGGATTTTTTTTTTTTTTTTCTTGGCAGATAAAACCCAAGCTTTGTCTATTGACTGTCAATCGTACCTGACTGGTGTTGTGAAGAAGCTGAGAATCATGAGGATAAAGCTTTGCTGTGTCCTCTGGGGAGTACAGCCGGATGTATTTGCTTCCCACAACCTTTAGATATGCAAAGGAAATCCCACGTGGTTATACTCAGATCAGATGGCACACGTTTTAGGAGAATAGTTGTAGTCACCTGAGCCAGAAAGTTCTGCTGAGGATCTTGGTGAAGAGGAGATACAGTACCCTGGGGTCCAAACCATGCATTCACAGTGATGTCATCTTCATCACCTTCACCAAGACAGCAATAATCTGGGATGCGGATGTCTTCCTTAAGCTCTGGGATCTTACAGAGAAAATGAAACAAACAAAACATTCTCGGAATAAATTAGTTTTGCATTTACAATGCAATTATGGCACTGACAGCTAGCAGAGCTGCAAACAGTCCTTTGAGTTCATTCACAAATTCATTTATTTGTTTTTGTCACACATCAGCGTTTCAGATAATTAAATTAATTTCAGTAAAAATGTATTCAAACAATAATATTATTTACTATCAGAAAAAAGCTGTAAAAAGCAGCCTTGCCCTATACAAATAAGAAATTGTCCTAAAATTAATTAGCCGAGACACCTTTGGCAGCAAGATGGGCTTCAAACAATTTCTGGAAAGAAATTTTTTACCATGGCTTTGGCGAGATATTTCCCACCTATCTTTGCCAAATTATTTTATCTTAGCCATGTAGAAGGGATTTTGACCAAAAGGATAGATATCAAGGACAAAGTAATCATATTTAAATTTGGACTCTGAACAAGCAGCTCTAAAACAGTTTAATATCCAAGTCATTCAGAGGTTGATGTTGTGTGTTTTGGATCATTGCTCAGCTGTATAACCAAGTGCACCCGAGCTTAAGGTCACAACTAGATAGTAGGATCTTCACTTTCAGAATCCTGTAGTAGAGAGCAGAACTCACGGTACCTTCAATTAAAGCAAGTTGTTTAAGTCCTGAAGAGGAAAAGCATATTCAGGCCACTGCAGCACTGAGCAGCCCCTGATTGAATTTAAATACACATCATATTCGTCCTGTAGAACAATTTGATTGACAAACTAANGGAAGCCGGGGTACCCGGACAGAACCCATGCATGCTCAGGGAGAACATGCAAACTGCAGAAATACCCCAAGAATTGTACACGCAACCTTCTTGCTGCAAAGCAGCAGTGCTAACCAATGCAGCACTGAGCAGCCCCTGATTGAATTTAAATACACATCATATTCGTCCTGTAGAACAATTTGATTGACAAACTAAAACATTTTGTGAAGAGGCAATATCTATAAGATGACACTTTTTCACAGTTCCATCTGGATAGCAGTTGTCATGGTAATATCAATGTGTGCAACATTTGCTAAGAACTTCCAGGATGAACATTTTTTGTAGACTATTGAATTTTTAAATTATAAGCAATAAAACTCCTCAAGTCTAGAGTTGCTATAGATCCTAGTGATGGAAATCAGAAGTTCTAGGAAAGTGGTCAGAGCACTGATATGAGGGAGAAGAAGTAGAAATGTATGAATGTGGAACAAAAATATTACAGTTTCTTTCCAATATGATGCAGAGTTACTTTTCACCTTTAGTGCAGGCTTTTAAAGCTCTCAAAATAACCACCTGTGCTTAATTTGATTTTTCCTAATTTTGGTCACAAAAATGCAGCATTATGTAGAACTTCTCATGTTACTTAATTTGACCTCTTGAGAGTAATTCAATCCGAGATCCCCTTTGGTTCTTTTATACCAGCAACTCTCTATAATGCTTTACCAATGGTCTGCTTTATTTCTTTTTTTTCATCTCGCTGCAACACAAAGTTTCACACTGTAGAACAGAAACTGTCCCACAATATAGGTGTTAAAAAATGTGAACATAACCTCTTTTTTATTATTATGAGAATGGTAATCTAAACTTCCAATCTGTACTTTATGAAGAATTTAATATATCTCTAATATATAAAACATGCAAACTAATTTAAATCACTTTTTTTTCTGGATCTGTCAATAGTTGACTTTGTAATATAAACAAAAGGAGTGTTTTTCTGTTTTGATAATGTCTAGAGTATATAAATAATGCATGATTCCTATTTCAAAGCCTTATCCAAAGTGCAACACCTTACATCAAACGCTGCTTGTACTTATCAAGCATAAATGAGCCTCATCATTGATCATATTTGTGACTGTATCTGATTTTTTTAACAAGCTTTTAAATACAAAGGAAGGCTTATTTTCCTTATAAAGTATATCAGAAAAACTCAGTAGTTTTTCTTTCAATAGTTTTCATTAGTTTGTTTTTTTTCTAAGGTTCTTTACTACTTTGATCAAAAAGTAGATTAATCATAAATGTTTAAGAACAGATAGCTGTTGGATTTTTCTTTTAAAATGAGCAAAACAAACCAAAGTGCAGATTTGACCTAAATCAGTTAATTGTGACAATATTAGGAAGATAATAAAACCCCCTAGAGAAGCGCTCAACCATTTTAGTGTTTCCTGAGGTAAATATATTAACACCATGACAAATATTTTGGTTCATTCTGCAAAGAACTTACAGTATCTTAAGTAGTCAAAACCCTTGAACTTGTTCACATTATTTCATAATATAACCATAAAAACTCAATGTATTTATTTGGGACTTTAATGTTTGAAAGACACCAATTTGGGTATAATTGAAGCAGATTGAAAATGATACATGAGTCTTAATTTTTATTACAAATACAGATCAGAAATGAAGGCTGTGCATTCATTTAGTCCCCTTTACCCAAACAACCCTAAATCAAACCAATCAAACAAACAGGCTTCTGAAGCTCCCTAATTAGTAAACAGAGAATTTGAGCTTATAGTTATTTTAAGAGGTCTGTTAAAGAACAATAGTGAATAAACTGACCGGAGCAAAAAAATTGCTTGGCTCCGTATTTTGAAGGTGAAGGATAGAGAAGACGTACGTGGACGGTGATGTGCGGAGTAGTGGTGGATGTGGAACAGATCTCATCGATTAATATGACTGCGCGAGTGCTCCGCACGATGTATGTGAGCAGGTCGGAGCGGTGACTGAGGATGTGGAATCTGGGGGTCAGCGCCCTTCTAGCTACTTCCGTCCACACCTGCTCCCATCAGTTGATTACTTTATTCATTGTTCTGTTGCTATATACACTCTTCCTCTGCAGTTACTCTTTGATGGATTTTCTTCATCCCCTCCTCAAGTTCTTTTTCAGCCCTTGTTCTGGTTCCTGTGTTCCCTGGTTTGTTATTTCTGGATTTATGCTTCTGTTGCCACCAACCCCCATAATTAAATCCACAGGAAACCATCTCTTCTACATTTGGGTTTTCTACAAACCTCCACTCATCTTGACATAAAAAAAAACACATGACAGAGAAGAGAATAACCCTCATAACTGAAAGCATACCTGATCAAAAAGCTGGTGTTGTGCAAGATAACCCACAGCTTTGTGTCCACTCTCAGACACTCCAACCTGGAAAGCAAACAACCAGGCATAAAAACTCTTCTTGTCCATGACTGGAATCACAATGCAAATTCAAAACAAGAGGCGGCACTCACTTTATTCAAAATATATTTGTCGATGAACTCATTGACCGTAAGCAGCGTCTGTGACCAGTCCTCGTCTGTATAGCGGGACCCAACCTCGACAGGAACAGTCCGGCAGCCGGCAACAGACCTCAGGTACTCTATGCTTTGAGAGCAGAAAGATAATTACTGCTCACAACAAAAAATGGACAGCCATTGTAATCCTTGGAGTGTACAGCAACATGGTAAAACAGTCCTTTTAGATATGAATCAGACATTAAGAGGTTTATGTTAAAAGTCAGAGCGAGCAACAGAAATACACAGAGGACAGCAGTCCTACTGATAAACTAACATGTGAAGACTTGATGAATTAACCCACATGCTGTTTGTTGCCTTCATTTGCACTTATTTAAATTAAAAGAAGCTAAAACTTTCATTTTAATACAATTCAAAAAATGTAAGTTTGTGTAGTCAGTTGTTCTTCTATATAAGAGTCCTCCAGCTTCCCTCTCAGCCTAAGAAGAGCTCTCAGCTCTTGTTACAAGTGTATATCAGTATGATTACTTTGCTTGAATGAATCTTACTGGAGGATAAAGGTAATAATAAAAGCTTATTTTGACAGCATATATGTACATTTTCAAAACTCTTTTCACACAAATTCAGGAGTGTTTTCAGTCTAAAACAGCTTAAAAAAAAAAAAAAACATGCAAAGGATACACCATTAATAAACACAATATTCAGTCCGAGCTGATTCTGAGAAAACCAACCTCCAGGGATGTTTGTTGAAGGCGGGCCAGTGGTCAATTATCCCCTCTAAAATCACGGGTTTGAGAGGAAGGAGGTGGTTTGCACTGAAGCTTTCCAGTGAAGGACACTTAATTCTGGGAACGGACAAGTCTTCTTTGATTAGACCAACATGTGGGCTTGCAATCCTTCTTTTCTGTTAATGATAGTGGAGCCAAATAAAAGAATAAGAAAAGAAACTTTAAACTCCAGAGGATACAAACCAAAAGGGATTTTATACATCATATACTTTACTGTTATTTATATAGTGCTGCGATTTCAGTAATCTGTTTTTTTTTTTTGTTACTTTAACGAAAAACATTTAATTGTCACTGAAATAAAGATAGTGAAGTAAAACCTCCTTTAATTAGGATAACATACAACCAGTGGTGGATAAAGTACATAAAAGTCGTACTTGAGTAAAAGTATTGATACTCGTAGTCAAATCGTACTCAACTACAAATAAAAGTTACTCAGTCAATAATCTCTGTCAATAAGTACTACTTTGAAAACACTTAAGTATTTAAAAGTACATGGATTTAAAAGTACTTGAGTATTCAAAACTAAAAATAAAATGTTCTAACATCAGTACATTTCTGTATAATTTTCAGAGTAATTTTAAAGAACCTTGCAACTTTCAGAAACCACCATATGTATTAATGCACAGAACTACCTGCTACAGATTCTAAACTTCAGCACAAAAATGCCACAAAAAAGGACAGCTATTTTGATTATTATTTCTCATTTAAAAACAAACCAAGAAAACAGGAGAGTCTTAAATCTCCTCACACTTGCACTATGGACTAGAGGTTTAAGGTTGAATCTATTAGCACAAACAAACCGTAACTCTGATTCGAGAACTCATCCTACTGAACAACGTGGCCACATGGTGACAACTCATGGCTTGATAAAATGTATAAACTATAAATTATATCCGCCCTGAGTTTTTTTACATTTGTAAAATATGCAAATGTCTAAAGCGGTTGTGTCTAAATTCAGTCCTAAGGGCTGCTGTCTGCCATATTTAAGTTACATATCAAGAAAGTAAAGCAGAGTGAAAGTTATAATATCCCCCATAATATTATGCAAGTAAAGTAAAGATACTAAAAAAAAATTCTGCAGTACAGTAGTTAAGTAAATGTACTTTGTTACTTTTCACCACTGTATACAACACTATCCACATTTACTGGCATCCTTGTTAGATGGCTATCAAAATACATTTCTTATTTATAAATTTTTACAACAATCTAAAACAAAAACCCAAGCACTTAAACTGTAGACTCGGTCTTTGCTGAAGTTCTCTAAACCTAAGCTTCTTCCTTCCCACGTATGGTCAACCATTCAGCCAAGTTCAACCATTCAGCCAAGTTCCAGTTATTGTTACCATCAAAAAATTATTTTAAATAGATAAAGTAGGTTTCGGATGAAAGGCAATTTTTTTTGGTAAACTTTATTGATAAATGCATACAAGGCATGTTTTCTAAAATCTTCGATTTCATAGAAGAAATATCAGACTTCTCCCATTAACATGATAAATATTGTTTTTTTTTTTTAAATAAACATCTAAAAACTGCATGTCGGGCAACTCTAAGAAACTCTGAGAAAAACAGCCTCACATGCATTTAAATTATCTATACTGTAAGAATATGCAAGTTTTACATATCTTTAACAGGGCACTGATTAGTGTGGAGGTGGTTATGAGTAGAAGAAGGTGACGCCATCTTTTTTTCTTCTAATGTCAAATATCTCAAGCAGCATTGGCCTACAGTTGTTTAATTCTTACTCAGTTTTTTGTGGGCTGTTAAAATGTTTAAGAATTTCTAAGCTTACATTTTGTTGAAGCAATATTTAATCAGGAGAAAAAAAAAGTCAGACAGATCTGGTCTAAACAAAGTGGTCTGACCTTTGAGTTTTTGTAAGGCAATATAAAAATACAAGAGACATTTTATAAAGGGAAAAATATCTTGGCTGCACTGTATAAAACTATTACTTTATGAAAGGACACAATGACACTGGTTAAAAAAGAAAATTACAAACCTTAGCCTCAATGTTTTCTGAATTATCTTCTTCTTTCGCCAATTTTCTTATTCCAGTTTGTAGAATACAAACGATGACCTGAAGTAGATTTTCCATAATGGCTGCGCCCATCAGCAAAGCCATGTCACATGTCCTGATCGCCTGCAGGATCTCCTCCTCTAATGGGTTTTCTCTACAAAGTGCTACAGCTTTAAACAGGCAGCCATAGGAGTAAACTCGCCTCCACTCTTTGTCCACATCACGCCATGTTCCCATGTTGAGTCTCTCCCATGAATAGTCCACGATGATTTGAGCATTGAGAATCTGGCTGGCGCTCGTCGTGTTGCCATACAGCTGCTTTCGGGCCAATTTCAGCATTTCCACAACACTTAACGGTACTTTATCACTAAAGGTCAGCGGAAACTGTTCTTCATTAGGAGGCAGAGCAGCGGAGATTTTCAACCACAAAGATGTCATGGATGAGATGGAGGTCAGCCGATGTTCTGCAAAGTGAAGAATATATTTAGGTAGAAATGAAGCATTAATCTGTAACAAATTAAATTCACCCCATGCACAGACTTACTTGGAGCACATTGATGCAATTTATTTAGAGCTGGAACGTAATCACTTCTATGTTTGGCAGGTTACAGGCCCATCAGTGTAACAATGTGCAAAAACCTGCCCACCCTCATCACACACATACATCCTTGATGCAACATGGAAACAGAAGTGTGTGCACCTAATTTCCCAACTGGCAAACACAAAATGCAGGTGAGGACAGCCTGAGCCAGGTCTGCGCATGTGACACGTGCACAATGATGACAGTTTGCAGCAGGAAATGCCAAAAATGCCTCATTGTCAATAAGTCCATACTTGGACGATCTGTGTCGTTGGAGATGTTGCCAAAACATGAGCACCTGATTTATTTCTAAATGGAGACACAGTCTTGTAAACCTAAAAACAGCCTTCATCTGAATGATTTATTGTTGTTATTAAACCACACGGTTTAATAAGATACTCTGTTGGCCTTCAGCAGTCTTCAGATCATTATAGAGTCTCATTAAAATACACATCTAAGCAAAAACAGCCAATGACAAAAGATAATGAAAAACAGTAAGCCTAAAATAAAAGGTTATTTGGAATGCTTTCAGCAGGGATGTAAACAAATAATCGACTTACTATTTATAAAAGGAAAATTTGTTACATCCAATTAATTGATCAATTAACTTATTAATTGATTAATGTCCAGCAGAGCTGGTCATCCTTAAGAAGAATGTAACTGGTATTTGTACGAGAAGTACTGCCAGAGTGGAGGCATACTAGAGCAGAAACAGGAATCGAGAGTCCAAGTCTAGGGTTTTTTTTTACTCTGTTTAATGCTTCAAGGATGCAGAACGGAGATTATATAGCTCTTTTTGGAAATATCAACAATCCATAAACACCTTAAGTTATCATCTTAATCATAAGAGAAGCATAACTATGGATGGTGGCTAGGGGTGCAGTATTATACATAAATACCTTATGAAATTATTATTCAATCTGTCATTAATTTAGTAAAATTGCATATAAATACAGAATTGATTTAACAAATACAAAATAAATCATATTGGCCTCAGTTAAATATATAGATTTTATTTAAAGGAGTGTATATAATTATTAAGAACACCATGAATTAATGGAAACTGTCACACGTTGAGCAAAGTCATAGAAGAGGGACTAAGGCTGCTTCTGTAGAAACCCTGGCCTCTAATTGAAAGCTTCTCACTAGCAAAGATAAGACAATTTCTTCCTGGTTTTCTTTTAGTATACAATCAACAGTTTTGCAAATGTATATGGTGTAAATACATTTCTAAAAGGTGTTACCATTCATTTACAGCAACATGGGCAGCAGCTCCAGCCTATATATAAGTAGTGTAGCCTCTAAAAGGTGAAGTGGTAGTAGTAAATTTGCAGGGCGCACGCTGATACTGCCGAAGTCTCTGGCAGCTCCCACCAAGTCAGACCACAGCAAGCTGACTTGTAAGTTTATTAGATACAGTCATAGGAAAAAGTTTTGTCACCCCTATTAATCTTAATTATTTTTATTTCTAAATATTTGGGTGTCATTTCAGTTTGATACATCCAATAACTGATGGATACATTTGTATTTCAGTATTGAATTGAGGTTTATTGGACTAACAGAAACTGTGCAGTACGCATTAAAATGAAATTTGACATGTGAAAAAATTTGGGTACCCAAATAATTTTATTGATTTGAATACCGTTAACTACTTTTCACTGACTTACTGAAACACAAAATTGGTTTGGTTACTTCATTGTTCTCCTGTTTGAATCTCCTCATAAGATTCATCATGGGCACCTCAGAACAACTCTCAAATGATCTGAAAACAAAGATTGTTCAACATAGTCATTCAGGGGAAGGATACAAAAAGTTGTTTACGAAATTTAAACTGTCAGTTTCCACTGTGAGGAACATAGTAATGAAATGGAAGAGCACAGGGACAGTTCTTGTTAAGTGGCAGGCCAAGAAAGATATCAGAGAAGAAGAAAGGTGAGAATGGTCAAGGACAACCCACAGACATCCTCCAAAGACCTGCAGCATCAACTTGCTCCGGATGGTGTGACTGTGCATCATTCAACAATTGAGCGCACTTTGCTCCAAGAGAAGCTGTATGGGAGAGTGATGCGACAGAATCCTTTTCTGCAAGCACGCCACCAACAGAAGCACTTGAAGAATGCAAAATCGATTCTGTTTGACAAGTGAGCTTCATTTTGGAATAAGGTTCTCTGGACTCATGAAACAAAGATTGAGTTGTTTGGTCATAAAAAAGGAGTAATGCATGGCGGCAAAAACACTTAGCGTTCCAAGAAAAACACTTGCTACACACAGTGAAATTTGCTGGAGGGTCGATCATGCTTTGGGGCTGCATTGCAATGCTGGCACTGGGAATCTTGTTAAAGTTGAGGGTCACATGGATTCCACTAAATATCAGCAGATTCTCGAGAATAATGTTCAAGAATCAGTTACGAAGTTGAAGTTACATCGGGGATGGATAATTCATTAATGACAATGATCCAAAACACTGCTTCAAATCTACTCAGGCATTCATGCAGAGGAACAATTACAATGTTCTGGAATGGCCACCCCAATCCCCAGACCTGAATATCATTGAACATCTGTGGAATGATTTCAGCAGGCTGTCCATGCTCGACGACCATCAAACTTAACTGAACTGGAATTGTTTTGCAAAGACGAATGGTCAAAAATCCCTTCATCCAGGATCCAGGAACTCATTACATTAAAAGCTAGAGGCTGTTGTTTTTGCAAACGGAGGATCTACTAAATATTAATGTCTCTTTTTCGCTGAGTTGCCCATATTTTTGCACCTGTCAAATTTAGTTTTAATGCGTACTGCACATTTTCTGTTAGTCTATTAAACCTCAATTCAATACTGAAATATTACTGTGTCCATCAGTTATTAGATTGGAACAAACTGAAATAGCTGTTGCAAACACCCAAATATTTAGAAATAAAAATAATTAAGATTAATAGGGGTGCCCAAACTTTTTAATATGACTGTATATTTCAGACCAAACTAGGGATATAGAGGCAAAAGTTGTTTGCCCGGTGTGGTGTAAATAAAATGGCTACACTTTTCATAAAGTTGAGAACCTTTCTAGCCAAAATGTTGACTTCATTGTAAAATAAACAGGAAGAAATGGTCTTATCTTGTTCAGTGAGAAGTACCCAACCAGATGGCAGGGTTTCTATGAAATCAGCCCTAGTCCTAGTCTTGACTTTGACTGATGTGTGACCTTCTAAAATCAATTTAAACTTTATTAAAATTCAATTCAGCACAGAAAAATTAAATCATTTATTTAAACATGAAGTAATTATATTTATTTCTTTAAAAAATAACTATATATATAACTGAAGCCCATATTATCAATTTTATATTTATTAAATTCAGTTTTTATTGCCAGTTTTAATAAAATAAAGACACATTGAAATAATTTTATTCAAAGGTTTTTAAGTATTGAACTGCGGCCCTCATAATCAAATATAGATAACTTCTCAGCTGTGTTTGGGAAGAAAGTTTGTGATGAGAGAAAAGTTGAGGGCATCATGCTAAACATTTCTAACATGACAGAAAATGATGTTGACAATGAATATGGAAGATGGGGGAAGCTTTTGGTTAATCTACTTCATGGAGCCAAGTTTTAACATTCCTCTGAGAACAACCAGAGTCTCCCATTTAAAGGTTTCTCACCACACTGATGGCTAGATTACACTAAAAACTGCAAGCTAATTTACAGTTACCATCCACCTCATTTAACCGAACAAAGGGGAAATAGTCTGACAGCATATCAAAGAAAAATATTTTTTTGTATCGATAGCTTTACATATTTCATTGGAAATGAAGTGTTTAAAATATTTATTCATATTTCTGTATTCAGTAAACCAATAGGTTACCTTTTAGTTTAATAATGTGTTACAAAACATTTTTGGTTTAAACATTCAGTATTTAACAAAGTTTCACAATAAATAGTTAGAATATAATATTGTATGTTTTTTTTATTTTTTTTATTCAGTACATGGAAAACAAATTCATGTATATGGAAAGATCCTCTTCATAGCTAAGAAACAGATTTTTAAGAAAATGGCTGCTTATGAATTATTTGATAGTAGATCGATAAGATCAATTAACCTAGATTAATTAATTTACCAATAACTTGGATATCTGGTTCACAGCCACTTCATCTCCTCAGAATATTACATTTCCTGGGTATCAGTTCACAGCATACAGCGCATATAAGAAAACATCTTAAAACATTTTGATTCATTTTTTTATCTAAACTAGGTGTGAACAAACTGCACCAATGCAAACACAAAAAGGGGAAAACCCCCTAAAATATCTCACACAGTCCACAGAGACAGAATTAGTCACTTTAGATTCTGAAGTCTGAGAGGTGCAATGTTCAGCATACAGTAAAACAATTAATTACTGTTTTAATTCATTTTTTTTTATTTTAGTTACAGACATTTTGAGCTAAAGTGTACCTAGCTCAAAAAGTGTACTGGTACGTATTTAATTTAATTGTTTTATTATTATTTTATTGTTCTTGTTTGTTGATGACCCATATGCATCTTTAAATCCCAGTGAAAGACAAAAATGTTTCCTATTCTGCTTTATTATTTTTTTCAATCATAGTCAAAAATATACAGATCACTTTACTCAGTGAATATATTTGACCCCTAAAAGCCAAAAAATGTATTACTGACTAAAAACCAGCTGAAGGGTGATAAAAGCAGACCAGCTTTCCCTTCACTGGGAATCACCTCATCAATTTAGACAGGACTCTTATCAGTATCAAGGTATAAACATGTTTACAAATAAGTTACAGATTATTTCTACTTCCATGATGTTCTTCCGTATTAATCTGAAGGGTTAAGGGGAGATACCACATTTAATTCAGACTGTATGCAGCTTTAGTTACACACTGCTCCACCTGTTGCTATACACAGAACCTGCCAAGTCCTTAAAGATAAGTGGTAATGCTTGCATGGTAATAACATCAGGAATGCATTTTTTTCCTTTTGCCTTATCTTGTCTATGTGAATCCCTTTAGCAGCAATTTAACCTGAATTGATTAAGACACAGACTTTTTAAAAACTGATTCTTTTTCTTCCCTACTGTGCACCAACAGTCAGGTGGATGAAAGAAGGCAACATCTTTCCCTTAATTAAAGACCAAAGCTACAGATGTTTAATCAAAACGACAGGCATTTAAATAAATACATCCACAGAATGTCTACGGTGGTCTAGCATAACAGTATTAACTTTCTTGAATTAAATATTGTAAATTAATTTTTAAATATTAAAGTTATGGACATATATCTTGATGCATGATGGGGACCTGGATAATTTGCTTCACAATTTTTTTTGTGACTAATGACTAAAGTTAAAAGGAAATAACAACATAAAAAACGACTTTAGAGTAAAGAAATTATTTCATTATAACAGACAGTCCGTTTAAAAAAAAGCTAATGTTTAAATCGTATAAACATGGATCTTAAATTAATATCAGTGAAGAACGCTAACTATAAGCATCCTCTTAGCACAATACTAATATTAAAATTTGACGTTACAAATTAAAAAGGTATATTTACCTGTTAAAACCTTACATAAACCGCAAAACCATTTTAAAACTCGGAGGAAAGATTCGCAGCTCGATTCCCGGTGTCACAGCAAAACACTCCGATCGAAACTTAGACCATGAGTAACATTAGTTCCGCCTTGTCTTTCAGGTTGTATAGAATACAGAGAAATTGTCCAATTTGCGTTATGAATATGTTTTGGATACCATATAGACGGGTTTGAGTCATATTATTCATTATATTATAGTGATAGCAAAATAAATATTATTAACCCAGTGTCTGGTATAGATCTACAACTATTCATGTCAAAAATAAGATACAGACGTGTCAATCCACTCCTGACCCTGCATAATACGCATTTTTGTACTATAATGAGAAAACTGCAGGAAACCTTCCCTTCTTCAGAAAAAAAAACACAAAATGAATTCACGCTCACACTTGTTTGGCTTGTGTAGGCAGTTTCCTACTATCTATACACTCACCCACATCACACTCCCACACAGTTACATTTGTCCACACCACGTCTTAGCTTCCATGTAGCAGCTCAGGAAATCTGTTCATCTCTTTCCTCTGAATTCTGTCTTTTCCCTTTTGTCAACCAAGGGTAATCGAGCACAGTCAGCACACCCTTATTAACATAAATGTTGACACCGATGCATCTGTCTCAACAGGTGGACAAGCTTCATAATTGTGCTGCATAAAGATAACTCACATTTTAATAATAAATCATGGAAAACAACTATTACACAAAAAAATTGCTCCCCTCTTCATTCCAAACGAAACTCCAGCTGGTCATGATGTGTTGTGCAAATAGAGATTAATTGAAGCATTACATATTTATGTCTGCTCATGTGAAGCTTGAACATTTAAATCTTAGACAAAAGATTTATCCTTTTGATGTTACATTGGTACTTTTTTTTCATAATCCTCTGCCTTTTTTTCCCACAGAGATGTGGCACGAACAAACACAATAGGAAGTCTTCATTGGTCTAGAATCTATAAACCCTCAGCATTATTATCAAATGTCAAACTCTTTGTGAAATTCAAATAATCTCGGTGGAAATCGCTGAGCTGCTCTTGTATGTAAGGCAGACGGAAACACGAGAGAGATGTGCTGCCTTTCCAGGAATCTCTAGGGATTCCAGACGCCTCAAGCATTTCTATTCACTCTCACTGTGTAAACATTCAGAATCCTTGTGTCTCGATCTACTGTTCACTTGCTTTTACAAAGGTTAGAAATCACTGTGATAACCATGACGGCAGCTTGTTCACTGAAATTTATCATGCCTTTGCTACTATATTAGTGGGTAAAAACAAAACCCAAAACAAGAAATAGGGCTGTTTTACATGGGATACAATATAACAAAACATTTAACATCTTAGAAATTAAGTTAAGGTTATGCTGGTATTGGTTACCCACTCATCCATGACAACATTAAGTGCTTAAGCAGAAGACAATTAAATTTCTGTTGTTAATTGAAGATGTTTTGCCTCTCATCGAAAAGGCCTTTTCAGCTTGCAGAATTAGATTAGGGTTAGGAAAAATGTAATTAGATTTAACTTAGATCCTGAAACATAAAGACGTGTTTAAAAAAATCTGCCTATAGTGCAGCTAAAAAAATGCCACTACATGTCTGCACCTATATTATACAGAGACGCCAGGCCTGTGCTGGTCAAACATGCTGTCTTTATTTCACTCTACAAGGAAAACAAACTCACACCATAACACAAATGCTGTGTATGTGCCTATCTGCTTGTGTTAGCGACTGAGGGGGTCCCAGCAGGAGAACTGATGCATTATTCACACACGTTATACTCTGCGGCTGTAAGACAGTGTGGGGACGAGCTAAAGGCTACAAGTCTGGCAACGCTGTCCCTTGCTGTGCTGTCAGGACCCACTTCATGCATAGAGGTCGGCAACCTTTGTCTTATTTATTTGGCGAGGGGGCTTTTGTTTGTTGATGTCTTTCAAATAACATTTTAGGATTTAATTTGGAATTGTTGTAAACAGGAAAGCTGTTAAATATTTTATAAATTCTTTACTTAAAAGTTTTTAATGTTCAGACAACAATAAGAAAAATGGCAGCAACTGAACTCCATAAGCATAAATTTTTACTTAATTTTGTTAAGTAGACATTGCAAAATAACTTTTATTAGTGCCTTCTTTCTTTATGTCTGTCCGTCCCTTTATTCATCATCCCCCATTTATCTGAGCTAAGGTCCCTAATGTGCAGAAGAAATAAGGAATCTCATTTTGGGGGATCCGAAGGAGTTTTCAGGTAAGAAGAGAAATATAGTCTCTACAAATGAGCTTTCGGTCTCTCCAGGAATATCTTCTCAGTAGGATGTGAATGAAAAACCTCCAAGGCAGCAAAGAATCATCCTTGCAATTTTACACAAAATTCCCACTTATTGCGCTCCATGTAGATGAGCAGCGGCTCATTTAGCCCTTGCATCCATAGTTGCCGACAACCGCACAAAGGTTTTTTTTTTTTTTTTTCTAAGCAAAAAAATTATACTTGAATTGTATTTTCAAAATGTACTTCTGATAGTAATTCTCCATATCGACTCAGATGAGAAACCATTTAGTGTAAAGTAGAGGTCTTCAACAGGGGGTCCGCGACCCCAAGGGAGTCCACGAAGGTACTGCATGGGGGTCGCGAAAGTTTTGGTTTATTAGACTTTTTTTTTAATATTCCCCCCTACAACTTTTTTCACTAATTGAAATGTATTTCAATACACTTTAACATTAATTCAACAGACTGTAGTATACAGATAAATGGAGGCAGAAGATGTCTTTCAGTCATCGATGCACACATTCAGTGACACACAGGAGCTCTTTCAAGCTGGGCATCATTTCATTCACAACACCTGTCCCATCAACAAGGAATCAGAATCAGAAAAACTTTATTAATCCCAGGGAAAAATTACTTTCGTTACATGACTCCATCTGTAATAGAGTGATTAAAAGACCAGTTTGATATAACACAATTCATACAATATATATAATTTGGGAGTCCACACTCCATCTCGCCATCAGTTTGAGGGTCCTTGGCCTGGAAAACGTTGAAGACCCATGGTGTAAAGTATCTATGCTGACTTTAAAATACGTATCTGAAAAACAAATTAAAATATCATACATCGAGCAAAATGAACAAAAATCTTGATCTTACACCAATTTGCTGCGGCATTAGAAAAAATCCTTATCTAAATTATCTTTCTTTTCGACTCTTTAGACTGTGTCTGTTTTAACATATTTTAACAAAAACAGCTAGAATATAGTACTTAAAAAAATCCAATGCCCTCTCATGTAACAGACCTATTCTAAAACCAACTTATCTATACAAGGAGCCCCATAATGACAGGGATAAAACTTGTCTTCTGACATTTTTGTAATTCCGTGAAATATGTAATCATTTAAACATGGTGGGTTAATTTGTATTCATGCCCTTTTCTTGGACTTTACACAGTAAGGTCAGGTGCATTTCATTTTTACTGCTAATCCTCTAGATTGCTACTGCAGCTTGATTGCAGTCTTTCTGTTTTGAATTTCCCTGATTGGACACGATGGAAGGTAAATCGCTTTTCTATATAGGGGCTCAGAGGTAACAGAGTATATCGGAGCAAAAACCATGCAATGAAATTGACAGGAGTCGTCTGCAGACCTCGGAAAGTGAACTGTGTCAAAATGCAGTTCTGGAGAAAGAAACAGAACAGTTAGTAGCAGAGGAAATCAAGACTAGCACTGTAGCCTCTGTGATTTAAAATGGAACAAGATGTGAAACACTAGGACTCAAATCCTTGATTTGGGCAGCAGACCAGACTGAGTAAACAGGGAAGAAGGGCTTTCAGAGCAGAGAAAAAAGGGTCCAATGGTCAAGAGGAAACATTTTAAAAGTTCAAGCACTTTACACTTAAAAAAAAATCATCTATTTTTGTGAGAAGCCTGGAAGAAGTGCCTCCTCAGATGGAAAATGGCAGCCAGCTAGAATGTTGCCAATGAGGACAAGAGATTCAGACCAGAAAAAAAACATTCTTTGCTCTGATTGAACCTTAAGCCCCTTTTCCATTGTCATTCATAAGCTTTAGGCTTTTAAGAGCCCAGGTAACAATTTTATACACATTTACTGTCACTGTCCTGTGGCTGTGGTCCTACTACAGCCCTGGTCATTTCTAGCTCTCTGCAGCACCTTGTTCTACCAGCAGCGGCAGCAACCAATTAACATGCGTGTACAAATATTACAGACCTTTAGTTTCTTCACAAACTAAGTTTCAATATGTTTTTAAGCCAGAAAGTACACCTCAAAACTTTATCTGTAATTTTATCAAGAAATAGCAGACTTTTAAATCTTGTTTTTTTTTAATGAATCAGTGAGCGGTTATATAGGAACTCTGCCCAGATGGAAGTTCATAAAAAAAATTAGATGTCAAATAATGACACTTTTTATGCTTAGGGATTTACTTAAAGCTGGTTGAAATAAAGAGAAAACCAGTTGTATTTTCTCATTAATGTCATCCATTGGGCTGAAGGTGCAGTGAAGTTTCTCTTATGCTGAATGTTCAGGAGCTTCAAAGTAATGGTAAAGCATTCTGATGAAATTCCCCAGCATTCATGTTGCAGAGAAAATAAAAATCTTGGAGCTTTAATTGCCGGGGCTTTTAGCAGCTAAGTTGACTTTTGCAGTAAGGTAACAGCATTGAAATCTTTAGAGAATATTACAGAAACCTTTCTGCTCTAGACCTTAGCAGGTTATTACTCATTTTTCTGTATAGTAATTACCCTTTGCACACAGCGGAAATACTGTCAGTATTGGCTTTCAGAGTACTAAAATGAGATCATACCAACCATCTACCAACCATGTCTATTCAACCTGACTGGGCATCAAACAATCTACAGGGAAAAACATGCCAAATGAAGTTGTGACAAGCTTGACAATCTTGGCTGTAAAATGACATACCCAAGTAAATTTCAGCCTTATGACACTCTACTTCATTAAGCTTTTGGCAATGGAATAAATTGCATATCTTTCTAGAATAACAACCAAAAAAAACTCTTCCTTGTCATAATGAAGTATTATGTTAAGATCTTTGAAAAAAGC